GTGCGAGTCTGGGCAGTGCGTAGTTGCGCAGTGCGAGTCTGGGCAGTGCGTAGTTGCGCAGTGCGAGTCTGGGCAGTGCGTAGTTGCGCAGTGCGAGTCTGGGGTGGGTGTGTGGCTGCGCAGTGTGAGTCTGGGGGGGGTGTGGTTGCGCGGTGTGTCTATCAAGCTGTAGAGGCTAGAGAGTTGGGTGGATGGACTGACAGAGATTGCAATGATTAGTCTGGGGGTTTAGGGAAATCACTCTGACAGCATCAGATGGACACTACTGCATCAAACACGCCACAGACCACAAGGACTGTCGCCTGGGCCCTGTCGCCAGGTTCTGGTCACTGGCATGCACTGTGCCCGCTGAAGCATGGGCATTTTAATGAGCCTGGCACACAGTGGCTGTGGCAAACAATGAGGAGTCTGATCGCTCTGCAAGACACGGAAACAATAACCCCACAGAAAAGATCCCACAGCCCTCGGTTTGTGTGATCTGCTCCCCGCGATCTTCAGCCGAGTGTGACGCCCCGTTGTGCAGACAGCTCTCTTGCACAGGGGAGGGGCAGCACTCCTCTCCTCTCTTGTTCCCCGGCCCCTGGCCCCTGGCCCCTGCCCGGGCTCCAGGTCCCCGCACCGCTGTCCGCACTCGAAGAAAGTGCAGTGTAACTCTCGTTCACACACTCGTCCTTGGGGAGCAGGATCTCCGCACAGCTGCGCTCCAGCGGGGAGTCTTCCTATTCACATCGGCGTGTTTGGGGCATCTGAAACTGCAGCCCCGACCCACTCAGCTCCTCTCCCCCACAGCCCAGCCTCTCCTGGAAGAGGCCGGCCAGCCGACCAGCCAGCCCGAGGGAGGAAGTGTGGGGGGGCAGGAAAGGACTTGGGGGAGCTGAGACAGGAGGGATAGAGTAAGAGAAGGGTGTGTTGCTGGGTGCTAGTGTGAAAATTCATGACCCTCATTGCAGAGCTTCCCTGCAGAGTTCCTAGCAGGACAGAAAACAAACAGCAGAGTGAGAGAGAGAAGGGAAGGAAAGAGGGGGGGAAGGACTGATTCTTTGCATGTCTCAAAGCATCCCATCAGCCACTGCGCTCCAGCGCGTCTCTGCAGTGCTGCCGAGTGAAGTCACACACACACGCTGCGCTCTGTCTCCACGGCACCCAGGTAACCAGGCAACCAAATATTTCCCTTCTGCGCAGAACGCCGGAGGGCAAGGCAGAGCAGGGGATATATGAGGGCAGACCCGCTCGCTGTGCAGCCACAGCGCCGTGGCGGGCTGGGCGTGTTGCTGAGGAAGTGGAGTGAACAATGAGCGGATGAATGGAGAGAGAGGGGAGACCAAGGAGAGAGGCAGCAGAAAGCAGCAACAAGCTGAGACTCAGCTTTCACATTCCACAGCCCCCCTCAACACACACCTCCGAGGTAACTCACAGGAGAGACCAACACAGCCGACAGGAGCTGCCTGCAGCCCCACAGCCCCGGGGCACCCTCGACCCTGTACAGTACTTCCACACAGCCCTACACCCACAAACACACTCTTCTGCATGACGGTGAGATGCAGAAGAAAGAGTGAGGAGCAGGAAACTCTTCTGTTCTGGGAAACCATTAAGTCTGATTTGCAGGAGCCCTCATGCGCGTGTCAGGGACACCCTGCTCCACTCTAGACTTCCTCAGCTCTGAGGAGGCACTCATCATCAGAGAGCTCACCGAGGCACAGGGAAGACAGAGAGGCAAAGGCTGAGCCACAAGTCTTACCCACCACAGGCAGACTAAGCCATTCCCTACTTGTACACAGCCGGCCGTCCCACACGCTGCCCCAGCGCAGAGCTGCAGTGGGAAACAACACCAGAAGAAATTCCTTCACTTGCCTAAACGATTCTGCTTTTACAAGGAAAACAGCACACTGAGATGGAATGAAAAGGCAGAGAGGAAGGAAAAAGCTGCTAGATAAGACGGAGGTGCTGTTGACAGTGTGGGCAGGACAGCATTCCTCACAGCAGTAGGTAATGCCCTACTGTTCACTCACAGCGGGGTGAGACTCAGAGCCACCCTCCAGCCTTGCTGCAAAACACAGCTTCAAACACAGGTCCTCGTCTCGGAGGATCACAAAAACACATCCCAGCTGCCCTGCAAGACTGCAAGAGGGATTCGAGACTTCACTGCCCCACTGTGGTTTCTCATTCCAGAAAAAGAAGCAGACTCCTGTAAGTGTTTATCACTATTACTATGAACAGTATTAGCTCTTGATTTTCTGCTATCCCACCTCTTCCACCACGAGGACAGAGGAATCCCATAGTATATGTTTGCATTATAGCACATCCACAAATCTTTCCACACGAAAGCACCTGTGTATCTGCGACATATTCACACCTGCTAAGACCACATGTCCTGTTGATATCTCAAAGTTTCTCCTGCCCAGAGCTTTATAAGAAAGTATCCCTTGGAGTGTTCAGTGAGCCCACAGGACCCTACCACCCCTTCTCAATCTTCCCAGGCCTATGCTTCACCTGCATGTTCCCCGATCCTGATGGATTAGGGCCGACCCCGGACTCAGATCAGCAGCCCTCCGCATACAGACACAGGACCAACATGCACATCCCTGCCTGACCCCAAACGTTCAGAAAGAACAGAGGCAAAACCAGATGGATCGGCCCACACTGCCCAGTCAAGGGAGCTGGTGCTCTGTTAGGGGTATGCTGGGATGTGGTAGCAGTGCATTAAGCACCCAGAATGCAAGGTTGGTGATGTCATGATCCACTGAAGTTGCATTAGTCACTTCCAGGCGACGGCATCACTGCAGCCTGTGAGGTAATCTGGGGGCTCAGCACAGAGCCTGCCTGCGGCGCTACGCTCAGCGCTGCATCCTGGGGCCCCCAAGGGCAGACAGCCTGTTCCCGTCAAGCCACTGCTCTGCTCCTCATAGCAACCTGGCAGCAGCTCCTCTGTCCTCCCCCGCTACTTTCTTTCTCTCTCTCTCCTCCCCCTCTTCCATCCTGCTCTCCTCTCTCCCATCCTCCCTCACAGCACAGATGCACTACAGGCTGCCTAAATATCCTCCTCCCCCATGACACTCTCGCCCAAGGATGTGTGCAGCTCCCAGAGACCCTCTTATTTAGGTTTGATTAGAAATTCAGACCTTTACTTTTCTCCTGTTTCCTCTTAATGGCCTTTACAGGAGAAAAGGGAAACAACAGCAGAAAGTAAAATTTGAACTGAATTATCCATTCCCATCTTGGCACAGCGCAGCGCAGCACAGCTCCAGACTAAAGCATTTCCATGAGCTACCCTCTCCACATTTTCCTCATAATCCCTGTCGACAGCCTCTCTCAGAGTGCTATATAGACACAACTGTTTCAAGCCTACTGCCTTTGAGGAAGTAATGATGTCCCCCCAGAAAGCCAGGAGAAATTGAAGAAAGTGGCAGATTACAAAGTCTAATCCTGAGAATGAACAGGGAAGGGCCTGCAGATATGAGTCACAGGCATGAGTGTTACACAATTCTGCATGCTGCAGTGGCGCTATCAGTGCATCCGGAGTCCGGAGCAGGGAGTGTGTAGGAGCTGGGCCAGTGCTAAAACTGTTCCCTCACCTATAATGAAACATCACTCGGATCCACTGGACAGTACCCTAGCCCCCCACATTCCCCTCCCTCCCCCTGACGCCTCTCTGCTCATGATTAACTGGCTCTCTTTAGCATCCCCTGCCAGCACAAACAGAATGGCAATCTTCTATCTTAAAGCAAGTCGTCCTATATTCACACTACTGTTATATAAAATTTGTTTTGTGCACTATGCATGCTCACAGCTGTTTTCGACAGTTGGGTTTTTATCTTTTAAAATGCTGCACTGAAATTAATGACTAGTAAAGCAACCAAGATCCCACCACCAACACAACGTGGGCAGCTGACAGGTAGCAAGATGATCCCTGACCAATAACCTACTAGGAGTTGTTAGAACAATCCCAGTGCAAACCAGTATGGCCTCTATCATCCACGGTCCACACAGAAAACAATCCGCTAGGAATGAGTGAATTTTGGGGTGATCCTGTCCCCATTGCTAATAAGAACTCACACGCCTACTAAGCAATTGCACTAAATCTCCATTCTGCCTGTAAAAGAACTCTTAAGCATGTATCTTTAAGGAAATAACACTGGAGTAATTTAAGAAAATTAAGATAGAAAACGTGCAAGAAACTGCTGTATTTGGGCAGGAGCACAGCGGTGAAACGGAGAGGACGGAGAGGAGCAGACAGACGAGGGGTCGCACTCTTACTTCAAGGGGGGAGTCGGGGTTGGCGTGGCGTTTCCGTAGCGACAGGCGCTGCTGGCTGCGCAGGGAGAACCTGCGGATGGACTCGCGGCTGCGAGACGCGAAGCTGCGCAGGGACGCTGCACGCTTGAAGGACGAGCGCTCACCCGCGGCTCCCCGCTCGGGGGCCATCGCCGTGGAGACCAGGCTGATGGCGCCGTGCAGCGAGCGGCGGACCGTTCCCACCCACTGCGACATCTGCGTCTGTGCCACCGCCAGCTTGTCGCCCAGGTAGTCCATGGCGCCCGGCGGCAGCGGGCTGGGTCAGGTCCGGGTCGAGTCTTCAGCAGCACCAAGGCCCAGCTTAGAGCAGCAGAACTCTCAGGTCAGACCATCGGTGCCAGCAGACAGCTGCACCTCGTCAGCTCAGGCAAACCCCGGATCCCCTCAGTGAGAGCTTTCCTGGAATTCACCGGGGAGCCTCTTCAGAACCGTACTGGGATCGCTCCAGAGCCTAACACCACCTCCCAGGATTCCTGAATCCTGCTGGAACGGTTTTTGAAACAGCAGCAGTCCCTGGGATCTGTCCCTCCCCGTCTCCCTCCTTAAGCTGGGCTGTGCTCCTGTCTCTGTCCGCGATCTCCTACACAGCTGGTCATGTCAGGAGCACTCCTGACAGAGAGCTCGCAGCACCAGGGCAAGGCTTAGCACTCAACACTGTCCACAGTGACGGATGAGAAACCCAGGCAGTTGAGGTAACAGATTCCTCTCGTTCTCACTGCTCCCCAGCTCTCTCCCCTTTCCTTCCTTCCTTCCTTCCTTCTAGGGTGCTAATTACTGCTTCTGGTCCTGCCGGAATTCTGGAGGCCTGGGAGGGCAATACCCAGCAAGCCCGAGAGAGAGATCACTGAACACCTCACCTCCCACAGCCCGGAACGGCCACGAACCGCAGCAGCAGCAGACGGCTGAGAGCCCAGGAACAATCAGACGTCAACAGCAAGCGTGTCTAAAAATACACTGAAGATGTCAAAAATGTATCTGGCTACGAGCTCAGGCTTCCAGTAGCTGCATACATTCAATAAGGCTGGACTGCTCCTGGCCCGTTCGCTGGTCTTCAGGGAGCAGACACTGACCGGCACGTTACCACGCAGCAGGGAAACGGAGCAGCGCAAAGCGATCCTGGCACAGGCCTGCAGAGTGTCCCCGCAGTGGGGCGGGTCCCGGGTTCGAGAGCGCAGAACAGCGCCATGACTGAGGCTCCACTCCAAATAGTTATTCCTTATAAGTCCAGGGGCGTTTTCCTACTGGATACATAAGCAAATCCAAGGGAGAATCACCCTAGATCCATCCTGGTGCGAGTTAAACACGCCAGAGACGGGGACGCACAGCTCCTCTGGATCAGACCCAGGCTCCAGTCCCCTGCGCAGCGCCCGAGAGAGAGGGAGCAGAACGACAGCAAAGCAGGAATCCCATTCAGCAGGTTGTGCCAGACGGAAAAGAAAGCAGCTCTGTGGAAAAAACCGAGCAGCCGGACTAGAGCACGGAGCGGCAGAAGTTTGTCCCTCTCACAGGTACAGGCAGGTACGGAGAGCGCTGCGTCGGCTGCTCCCCGCGCTACAGTCCTGAGGGAGGGAGGCAGAGGGGAGGAGCCGGCCTCGGGAGCAGGCAGGAATCCTGCCCTTCCTGCAGACAGGCTCGGAGAGGAAGGAGAGCGCCGCTGGCCTCCGCACTGCAGAGGAGAGAGCGGATTCCTGTATTGTTCCTGCTTTCTGCTCGAGCGGGATATCAGAGCTGAGCGCCAGCAGATAGAGAGAGGGGGAGGAGAGCAGGAGAGAGGAAGAGAGAGCCTGGAGGTGCATCTGTCTCTCTCCGTCCTCGAGCTGTGACTGTACCAACCCTCCAGCGAGGTGGGGGGGAGGGGGGAGGGGGCAGGTGATAGGGAGGAATTGGGGAGCTCAGTCAGGCCCTATGTGCTTACAGTCCTGGGCTGTTTCCTCAGAGCTCCTCAGAGCTGGGAGAGAGAGCTCTAGTGTGTGTGCATGTGGGTCACACAGCAGAGAGGGAGTGCCTGTGTGTGTGTCAGACACACCACTGCCCTGCACTCCACTGTTCACCTCCCTACACACACAGTTACACACATCCCTGTAGGCCAGCCTGGCCCTGCTGCAGCCAGAGGTCACTGCACTGCATCACACACTTTGTTAAACAAAACACAAAGCAGGCAGGTCGGGTTTTTACTCTGCTCATCTCTCTCCGTTTGTCATCTGTTCCTGGTCTCTTTCTCTCCCTTCATTTTTCTGGATCAGCATTCTCCTGAATCCCATATTAGGAATAAAACAATTACAAGCATTTCCCAAGTGAAACACACAAGTTCTTCTGAGTGAGAGCAGAAGGAGCAGAGAGAGTGGGGGGGGAGAGAGTGAGGGAGGGAGAGAAAGGGAGTGCAAAAGACTGATAGAGACAAGGAGAGGGAGTGAGAGGGAGAGTGAGAGAGGGGGAGAGGGGAAGAGTGAGAGGGGGAGAGAGAGACCCAGTAGCAGGATCTTGTGCTGATGTACGGTCTCTGGACTAGAAAAGACTGATGAAGACCCTGTTCATGTAAACAGCCACAGAAGGACGCCTGCCACTGTCAGAAACAGCTCATTATCACCATGATTAATACTAAAGGCAGAGGTGCAGCTCAACAGACCTGCTGTGAGGGTGCAGACAGCTCCAGTGACCTGAAATCCTGAAACCCTCAAATAAAGCATGAGAAGGCTAAGAAACACTGACACCCCAGTACACACCTTGAGGTGTCAGTGCTAGAGCCCCGTCCAAACACCTGGTCGAGAGCAAGGTACAACCAGCTCCACTACACTCCTCATGGACAGCGGAGTATCTCCTGCACACACGACAGCTCATATTGAGCTCCAGGGGCCCAGCTTGAGGCTCTGTGCACACAAGTGCACCTGACGCCCCCTGCTGGTCAAACTGCCTGCAGAGAGACCAGGCTGGCAACAGCAGCAGCACCAGCAACAACAGAAACAGCAGCAACACAGAGCAGCACAAGCAACAACAGCAACTCTGAGAGCAGGAGCAGCGCCAACAAAAGCAGAGCCAAGAGCAGGTGGGAGTTGGGTGACTTCCCTACCTCCTGTTGCCAAGCAACAGAAAATCTAGGGAAACCTGTCCAGCAGATTTAAGACAAGCAGTTGTGACTTCCTGTTTTACAGTATCCTGACTGACAGTGCACAAACCTGCACACACACGTCTGCATCAGGCCCTGCGCAACACAGACAAGGTCAGCTATGGCACATACCACTGTGTGTGTGTGCAAGCTGTTGTCTCGATCTGTCGCTGCAGCAGAGGCAGGAAGCAGCTTGACCGCAGGGCTGCCGAAAAAAGACCGGCAGAGCTCAGAGAGGCGTATCACTTCCACACACACAGACCAGCCGTGCCCCCCCCCCCAGGCCTGAAATGAGGTCACTAATTAGTTCAACACAAGAAACACAACCTGTGCTGCTCTGTCTGTCAGCACCTCACTCTTCCACCTGGGTAGCTGCCAGCTCCCTCTCAGGACACAGGGCCAC